GGGGGGACTCAGTCGGGCTTTCAATTTTCTGCTGTTGAGAGTTGTAATAGTACAATGCACAAGGTGCCATTTCGAAATGTACTAGTGCATGGGCAGTTTTCCTCTTTTTATCACATTCACTGACAGACCTTAGAGCTATTTATAACCTGTCAAATGTCCAGTTGATCAACTAGCTCATGTTAGCTAAGTAGGTAAGCTAGGCTAACCACATGGCAAAACGTGTAGAATTGCAGGAAATTAGCTTTAAAGCTGCAAACTGTTATCTCCACCAACAAGAGGAGTGTGAACAGTTTGGGGTCACATGGGTAGTGAGGTGGGGGTTTCTTACAATGCCGATAAATGAAAATATCTATCTGGACCTTTGCCACCTAGGACATTTGTGTGACAGGACCTTCTCAAATATTATTTGAATACCCTGGTATAGGGCATATTTGTTATTTTCCCCTTGCCTAGTTGGCTAATTTTATTTATTTATTACTTACCTCAATGTTGTCTCAATAGCTAGGTTTCCATCCAATTGTCGACAGATTTTCATGCAAATATTATAAAATCAATGTGTGATGACATAGTGCACACAAAATGTACTTTTTCGCTTAAGTTTTCATGTTACGAATAAAACTAATGTTCAATGTGTTTCCATCACATTTTCAACTCTATGGATATTTGTGTTGCGTTAAATAGCAAATGTGCCTCCTCTTGTCTTGGCACGTGCGCTCTAGCCAACAGCTGGCAGATACAGTGCGGGTAGGCTGTGAGGGTAGGCTAGTCCAGGGTTTCCCCAAAGCATCGATCATCATGTCACCAGAATAAGACAATCAACATTTATTGGAAAGGAGCATCAAGCTCATACCGTGCACTTTCACCACCCTGTGAAGTTCAACATAGTTGTTTTCATCTGTAGCCTGCATGGTTTCCCAAGTCATAGTGGGAGGACTACACACCATCACAGCTGTCGTGATTTTTTTAATACGGCACATTACCATATAAAAAAATCACGCCAGCTGTGATGGCAACAGGAAGTTTTGGTACAATTGTATAGATTATGACAGATAAATTGATCATTTGACATGGTGGGATCTTTTTGTGTCTGTAAAGTTCATTATGCAAGAAATGGCGGTGGCAATGCCTTTGGTCCTCTGTAGCTCAGCTGGTAGAGCACGGCGCTTGTAATGCCAAGGTAGTGGGTTCGATCCCCGGGACCACCCATACACAAAAAATGTATGCACGCATGACTGTAAGTCGCTTTGGATAAAAGCGTCTGCTAAATGGCATATTATTATTATATTATTATTTATGCGCAAATATTGATAGAATAACCCTAATATCAAAGTAAACTTGGAGTCACGCGATGTTATGGCGTTTGGTCTTCCCACTATGACTCGCGAAACCATGCAGTTAATTATGTTACGGATTAAAAGAATTATGTTGAACTTCACAGGGTGGTGAAAGTGCACGGTATTAGCTTGATGCTCCTTTCCAATAAATATCGAGGGTCTGATTCTGGTGAAATTATGATCGATGCTTGATTGCAGTTTGACAAATATTCTCACTTTTATCCATAATAATCTCATCATGTAGACTAGCCTACTGCACAGCCTACGCACTGTATCTAGAGCGTTTGGCTAGAGTGCACGTGCTAAAACCAGAGTAGGCACATTTGCTATTTAACACAACAGTTTTTGTGACAAAACTATTGTAGAGTTGAAAATGCAATGGAAACACATTAAACGTTATATTTTTATTCAGTATGTGACAATTTAAGACAAAAAAATATCATTTTGTGTGCACTACCTCATCAAGCACTGATTTTTATCTGCAACAAGTCCGTTTGGTGGAGATCCACCACTGGTGCGAAAATTCGCATATTTTCTTTAAGCATATTTTTTTTTGATATACAAATCTGTAGCCAATTGGATGGAAACCTAGCTATTGATTTAAAATGCACCTTGTGATAACCAGATTGTATGTATTTAACTTGTACTGAATCATTTGCTACAGAGTAATATAATTCAAGTAAACCCAACATACAGAGACACGTTTGAATTCAATTCAATACAACTTTATTTATCCCCTCAGGGGCAATCAATTAAGAAAATCATTGATTTCCAGTCAAGTGCTTTCCAATGGTCAATCAACAGAGGAAGCCGTCATTAGCGCGCAATAAGGTCCTAATGGTGAACCTTTTCAATGACGGTCTGTTCAACATGCTGTGGCCGTAGACAAAAGGTCATTCAGCTCTTAATACTTTAATGTCTGTGTGCATCCCAAATGGCACCCTATTTCCTATACAGTGCACTATATAAAGGGAATAGGGTGCCATTTGGGATGCATCCTATGTCTCTCCAGTCCTCCATAGTTTTGGGGTCACTGCTTCCTCACTCCAATTCTCATCCATGAAGTGACCCGCAAAAAAGCCCCCCTCAAAAACCCCACTAGGCCGGGGTCTCCAGCTTGTCTGGTCTTCCCTCGGTACACATACACGCACGCACGCACACACTCACCCCCCTCATCTGCCTCCTCTTCTCCTTGCACACAGCTAATCTAGTGGTAGGCCCCCTGCTAGCTCCACAGAGGCCAGCCCTAATTGCTCTTGTCGTAAAGCTCCCTGACCAAATAAGCTGCAGCTCCCCGAAGCTGTCAAGATAAACCCCACTTTACCTCACCAAACCTGCTTAATGCCTCTCCTTATCCTTACAACCACCCCCCCCTCCCCCCGCCCCTGCCTTCTGCCACTCAAACACCATGGATGGGACAGGGACGTACTGAGGAAGAGGGAAGAATAGGTGCAGAGGGAAAGAACAAGAATAAAAGAGACAATGTAGTCCTAGTTATTGGTCAGGTGAGATGAAGAGGCACAAAAAAAGAACGCCAATACGATGAGAATGTTGACAAAAAAATTAAGAAAATATGATAATATGGTTGGGAGGTAGAGTTGTTGGAGTGAGACAGAAGAGACGAGATGTGTATCTGTTTAGATAGATAACTGGTGTGATAAGTTAAAGTGTTGGCATGATGAACCAAGTGCCCAGCAGCGGTGATTGCCTGTTATTCCCTTCCGTGTCTCACCACCAAGTTCGATAAGTGAGATCACAGGGCTTTGTGGAGTTCACTTCAATACAGGTCGTGTTAATTACTAAAAAGGAGCTTTTAATTGGATGTTAGGCCGAATCACCTTTTAACCCAGGCGTCAGCTTCTATTGGTTTAGTTAGTGACATTTTTTAAACCCAGAGACATGTTGTGTCCTCACAAGTTGTGAGCAACACCACACTACATATATGGTTTCCTCTAAAAGAAAGATTAAAGTTAATTTGTCAATTCATGAATTGAAAAATGCCCATTGTTTTATTTGTGGATTTTTTATTCCTGAATTGACAACAGAATTAATAGAAAACTGAGAGAAATTGAGATCATGAATAAAAAACGACCCTATTTTATTAATTTTTTTTTCCAACTCGTTAATTACATTTCTTAAATTGACAACTGAATTCACCCCGAACCTGATATGCAACCCCCATCACCGAAATTTAGAGATAAATCTGTAGATTTCCTTCCCAATCATCATAGAATGGTTAGCATGAAAATCTACTGGATTGATGTCCTCAGTAACTTGATTTAGACTCAACAGAATAAAAACTGCAATCCTACACAAGTCCTTTTACCATAGATAACCTTTACTCCAGTGCCTCCTACTGGATTGAGTTCCTACTACACACAATTGTGTGCCAAAAGCATTTAATAGTAACGCCTACTGAAGTGGTCAAACATTTTTACAAATTTTTTAAATTATGTAATAACATAGGACAGTCAATTCACTTTCCTCAAAAAGACAATATGTACTGAAAAGTAATTTCAGAAACAAGTTGTAGGTTTTTTTTGTAGTTTAATAGGAATCCAAACATAAAGCATTGATACTGTTTGATAAGTTTGTCACAACTGAAACGAGAAAGTCATTCTCAGGTCAGGGAGAGAAAACAATACATTTGAAAAATATCACACAATGACTAATATGTAAACAACAAAAAATATATACTTTTTTTTTCACTCCCAAATAACTAAAGAACATTATTTATTAGTGGTTGGAGAACAGAGTTCTGTCTTTCCTGTGCTGCAGTTAGTCCTTCACAGGGCTAACAAGTCAGTCACCATCGCTACGCAAAATAGTAATACTGTACCATATTTTCACAACGCAAAATAACCAGGATGAAGACTATGGCTACGTCCTAAATGGCACCCCATTGTTCCCCAAGTAGTCTATGGGGAATAGGGTGCCATTTGGGACATGACCTAGGGGCTCATACGTGACCTCTGTCAACATCCCTATTAAAGAAAACAACATATGTGTTCATAATAATAACTCTTTACACTTAAAAAAAATGCTAACCATACAGTGTTTTGTTATACCTGCAGGTAAACACAACTAACTTTTTCCAGTTAACACACTGGTATCATAGCAGTGTTAGACTCAAAACACTTGTCACTCTTTCCCACTAGATACATCTCTCTATGGGAGTGTCAACCAAACCCAGCTTGTATAGAACAATGTACTATTTACAAAAAAAATGGTGTGGTCTTCAGCGGGCACTGGAAATGACAGGACCACCCTCGCTGATTATGATGTTGATATGAAAACCTTGCAGTCAAGTGTCTGTCTATTACCATCTAGTGGTTGAACGACTTGGACAAATGAGCAGAAATTCAAGGACCAGTGATCAGTTCATGTTTGTGTTGTAGTGCAGTTAGTAATTTGTTGATTTCTTGCTGGACAGAAGTCTTTTGAACTCATAGGAGTGCTGAACTCCAAATCAACACCTAGCCCGTACTTAGGGAGAAGTGATCCAATGCTAATTCACACTATAGGGCCAAACCGTACTGTGCTGGCTCTGATATTTTGTTCTCACATGGTCCTACCCAGCAACTATGGTGGATGCGTAACCAGGTCAATCCATAGTTTTACCCTATAGTGTAAATCAGGCACCAGTGTTCTCACCTTGTCTCCTCAGCAGCGTCGAGGGGAGGAGGAGTACTTGGTCTTTAGGCCCTCCTTGAAGCTGCGGAACAGGAGGCGGTTCCTTCGGTTCTCCTCGTCCTTCCTGCTGTGGAACTCGCCCTGAACTTTGAACCCTTTGTGCACCACGAAGGCAGAGTGCAGGACGGAGAATCTGTAGCCCGCGACGTGGAGCTCACAGGCCTGGGGAGGGAAGAGGGGGAGAAAAGGAGGACAATGAGGTAAGGGAGGACAACATGAACTGGTGAAAACTTTTAGTTGAATGATGTGTCAGGATGAAGTATTTATTTATATTCTATTTGTATTATGTATATTTTACTGCAGTGCAAGAATCTCTGCAGTGTACTGTGTCTGTTGATAATGTAATGTAGTTCTAACTGTTTTCAACCATACATACACACACACCTGTCACGTCCCCTCCACACTGGGAGTCATTGGCTACCTTTATCCGTACAATACATACCTGGGTGATGCGGTTAAAGCCGTACTGCCTGAAGCTCTCCTCGTACAGGGGCACGGTGCGAGGCCCGATGTAGAAAGGCTCCCAGGGGTCCACCCAGGATAACGTATAGGCCTTGTCCAGGGGCCCCAAGCCTTGGCTATGTCTATTCACCCACTGGGAGTAGTTGGTGGGGGCCTGGCACCGTGGGCACAGCTCCTCATAGAAGGGCCGCACCTCTCCCACCTGGTACAGCTGCACCAGCTTTGACTTGGTGGCAGGCATCTTGCGTACATGGCAGGCAGGTACAAGGCAGGCAGGACGAAGACCTCGTCTGTGGCAGGTTCACGTCTCATGACCAGCGCCAGGAACTGCTGGTGGAGGTCGGCACTGGGCGCCATGTCGATGTCGATGACCAGGATGTAGTTGGCTTCCACGACGCCGCTGGCAACGTTCCGAAGAAGATTGTTTGGATAGGAGACGTTACCCCCGATGGCGTAGTTCTGGTATTTGTCTCTGTGCGTCTCCAGCCTGGCTAACACCGCGGCACAGTCCTCCAGACCGGCAAAATGCTCCCGGTCCTGCTCGGGGAAACTTGCAATCTCCCCAGAGTGGCACACCAAGTGGAAGTCCACCAAGGCCTGGTTCTGAGGGCAGAAGATGCTGAGGGCGTAGACCAGGGCTGTGGCAAACTTGACATCTTGCCCGTGTGCGAATATGGCCACAGAGAGAGGGTTCTGTCAACGTTCCACCAAAGAGTCCAGGTGATGCAAGCTGTTGATGGATGTGTGCGTTGCTAAGGCCAAGAGGTGCAAGCTTGCATCCGCTCCTGGCTTCTGATTGGTGGAGAAATCGCTTTTGATCAAGTTTTTGTAGACACGGTATTTCCCGCTAGCATCAAATATACCCCCCGTGGACAGAGAGTACCTGAGACGCTCTTTCCGTGAGTTTTTCTCCAAGTGGGCATTTTTCTTGCCAGAGCTCCGGAAAAGCTCTAAGTACAGTGGGGAAAAAAAGTTTTTAGTCAGCCACCAATTGTGCAAGTTCTCCCACTTAAAAAGATGAGAGAGGCCTGTAATTTTCATCATAGGTACACGTCAACTATGACAGACAAAATGAGAATTTTTTTCCAGAAAATCACATTGTAGGATTTTTAATGAATTTATTTGCAAATTATGGTGGAAAATAAGTATTTGGTCAATAACAAAAGTTTCTCAATACTTTGTTATATACCCTTTGTTGGCAATGACACAGGTCAAACGTTTTCTGTAAGTCTTCACAAGGTTTTCACACACTGTTGCTGGTATTTTGGCCCATTCCTCCATGCAGATCTCCTCTAGAGCAGTGACGTTTTAGGGCTGTCGCTGGGCAACACGGACTTTCAACTCCCTCCAAAGATGTTCTATGGGGTTGAGATCTGGAGACTGGCTAGGCCACTCCAGGACCTTGAAATGCTTCTTACGAAGCCACTCCTTCGTTGCCCGGGCGGTGTCTTTGGGATCATTGTCATGCTGAAAGACCCAGCCACGTTTCATCTTCAATGCCCTTGCTGATGGAAGGAGATTTTCACTCAAAATCTCACGATACATGGCCCCATTCATTCTTTCCTTTACACGGATCAGTCGTCCTGGTCCCTTTGCAGAAAAACAGCCCCAAAGCATGATGTTTCCACCCCATGCTTCACAGTAGGTATGGTGTTATTTGGATGCAACTCAGCATTATTTGTCCTCCAAACACGACGAGTTGAGTTTTTACCAAAAAGTTCTATTTTGGTTTCATCTGACCATATGACATTCTCCCATTCCTCTTCTGGATCATCCAAATGCACTCTAGCAAACTTCAGACGGGCCTGGACATGTACTGGCTTAAGCAGGGGGACACGTCTGGCACTGCAGGATTTGAGTCCCTGGCGGCGTAGTGTGTTACTGATGGTAGGCTTTGTTACTTTGGTCCCAGCTCTCTGCAGGTCATTCACTAGGTCCCCCTGTGTGGTTCTGGGATTTTTGCTCACCGTTCTTGAGATCATTTTGACCCCAGGGGGTGAGATCTTGCGTGGAGCCCCAGATCGAGGGAGATTATCAGTGGTCTTGTATGTCTTCCATTTCCTAATAATTGCTCCCACAGTTGATTTCTTCAAACCAAGCTGCTTACCTATTGCAGATTCAGTCTTCCCAGCCTGGTGCAGGTCTACAATTTTGTTTCTGGTGTCCTTTGACAGCTCTTTGGTCTTGGCCATAGTGGAGTTTGGAGTGTGACTGTTTGAGGTTGTGGACAGGTGTCTTTTATACTGATAACAAGTTCAAACAGGTGCCATTAATACAGGTAACGAGTGGAGGACAGAGGAGCCTCTTAAAGAAGAAGTTACAGGTCTGTGAGAGCCAGAAATCTTGCTTGTTTGTAGGTGACCAAATACTTATTTTCCACCATAATTTGCAAATAAATTCATTAAAAATCCTACAATGTGATTTTCTGGAGAAAAAAAATCTCAATTTGTCTGTCATAGTTGACGTGTACCTATGATGAAAATACAGGCCTCTCATCTTTTTAAGTGGGAGAACTTGCACAATTGGTGGCTGACTAAATACCTTTTTCCCCCACTGTATCGGTAGCGCTGCTGCTTACCGTGCAGTTTCGATAGGAAGGAAAGGTAGATCAGTTGCAAGAGTGCCACCATTACCAGAGCGCCGAGCACCACTTTAAACACGGAACATTTCTTATAGAAATGCATAGAAATGCGCTATCAAATTGACCACTGCTAGGTGGCTAGCTAGCTAACTAGCTACACGGAGCTCATTTCGGCATTTTGGGAGGGCTTGCCTCGACTGTCTCGTGCAGTTGACATTACGCAGTGCTGCCACAGGTTTCGATAAGATTTTCAATCGTGAAATCATTGCATGGGCCTCCTTCATATTTGATGATATGTGGTTCTGTCAATCTCATAGTATTTCAAAACAACATCACATTCGGACGTTTGGAGAATGGTAGATATCGTAAAAAATCAAGAAAACAAAAAATAGCTTTTTGGTCTTAATTTAATTTGATGTTAAGGTTGGGCATAAGGTTAGCAGGGTGGTTAAGTTTATGGTTAGGTTTAAAATCAGATTTTAAGAAGATAAATTGTAGAAAAGCGGGGTTTATGACTTTGTGGCTATGGTAACTAGTGACGACCCCCCCTGTGGTGTTGTGACGCATGTCTGCGCTTTTCTACCACAAACCCTAGAATAGAAGGGCATGTAGCTAGCTTGTTTGACATAATATGGACCATTTATTGTGTTCGTAGCAAACAACTGCATGTTCATATGCTATTTGGCTTGCTAGCACTTTTATGAAAATGCTCTCTTGAATAACATAACCCAAATAAATTCATAACAGTTGTGGTTTGTAATGGGTTTGAGATAAATTGTGTTTTGGGTACCTGATATGACTCAGAGGACGAGGTGGCCGAGTGGTTAAGGCGATGGACTGCTAATCCATTGTGCTCTGCACGCGTGGGTTCGAATCCCATCCTCGTCGACAAATATTTTCCTTTCTCAGGGATAGTAGTGGCATAATGTAGCTAGCGAGAGTGAACAGTACTTCAACTAACAGTATCTGGCCAAATGAAGACTATCTTGGTCAAAACTGCCAGTGCATTTGCCTCCAATGAAACTATTCTACATTAAAAATAGTTAGAGCCAAACGATTTATTTCACTATTTAACGAAATTGTGATAATGTATGAATGACTGCTTACCCAGTACCAATAGCATTTTCCTGTGTACAGTTCTATTACCTAACCTGGACACCAATTCAAAACCAATCAATCAATCACATGTATTTATAAAGCCCTTTTTACATCAGCAGTCACAAAGTGCTTATACAGAAACCCAGCCTAAAAACCATATCAAATTGACACCTTCTTGCTCGTATACAAAGGCACAAAGAAAAACCAGGAACAAAATAAGACATGAGAAAAACATGCAAACCTTATTTATTGCCCAAAGGCATGCTCCACACTATACACCATTCGTGTGCTGTTTTTTTGGTACTGAATTGCTTACTTGCGCCAGAGGATGGCATGCCATAGCACTGTTGTTTATGACAGCTGGTAGGAAGGTCCTCTGTTCTGAGACTAGTGTATCGGCAGACGTTGTCCATGTAGATTTCATGTTGTCTTCGCCCATGAAAGGGTCCCCACAGTATAGGACTGCTGGCGGCCAGCAAACCGTATGGACTGAATAATATATTACTTATCTACTATTATTTGTCATTTAGCAGACGCTTTTATCCAGAGCGACTTACAGTAAGTGAGTGCATACATTTTCCGTACTGGTCCCCCGTGGGAATTGGAACCCACAACCATGGCGTTGCAAGGGCCATGCTCTACCAACTGTGCTACACGGGACCTATTATGTATCTACATAAGGAAAAGCAGCAGAAGGCATCAGAAAAAACATTTTGCATTGTTTTGTTTAATTCATAAACATTAACAAAAAAACAAACATTTTCTCCACACAAATACATGGTGTAAGTTAATGTAGGTTAGGACAGTGTGCTTCAGATCCTTTGGGAGCACTTAAGACTAGTACTTTATTTATGCTGTCCAGGCTGGGTGTTTATCCCAAATGGCACCCTATCCTCTCAAAAGTAGTGCACTATTTAGGAAGTAGGGTGCCATTTGGGACGTTTATTCTGTTATCCATCTTAAGCCGATGTTCAGGGCAGCTTCTTTCCAGAACAGATCGAAATGATGCCGTGTGTTGCGTTGAACAGTGTTTTCCCAATCAGATTCTCATTCCTTTTGCATGTGTTATTCTATGGCATGCCAGCGACAAACCTCTCAAAGACAGACGCCAACAATAAGATCATAATGTACATTAAAACATGACAGACAGAGTATGAATAAACAGCAAATAAATGTGACAGACAATATATGGTCATCATGAAGACATATTGTTTAATACAACTATCATCCCATAAGATTTTGATGAAACACTCCCTTGAGTAAAAGGAGAAAGGCTTGTTTGTGTCTGAAGAGAAAAGTAAATTGTTGGCTTAAGTTTTGTTTAACTATAGGTGAAAAGGATTCAATACCACATGGCTTTATTTTGTATCTGAATTGAATGGTATTGAGAATCTGGCCCTTCTAACATTGGTTTATAATTTATAACCTCATTCATGCAGGACATACGTAAAACTCTGCCCTTGAAATGCCTTCCAGGGTCTGTGCTGACTATGCTTGATGGCAGTCTGCACAATTTCCTATCTTACTAAAGCCTTTATACACAAAACTACGAAACTAGAACGCCGGCACCGCCTTTAGACCCGCTCCCATTGGAGGACGCTGCTGATTTGCCCTGTCCTTCCTCCCCTTCTCCCACCAATCGGATGTTGTATTTTTCCCTGTACTCTGTGAGCTCCCGGCCTTTCGACTGCATCTGTGTGTTGAGAGATTCTACAATCTTTGAGATCTGTAAGGAAAAGAGAGTGGGAATAGCAAATAGTTAATCATAATGCGTGACCAGTAGTGATTTAGTTGTACAGGATAGTACTGCAACAACCTATAGCCTTGGTAGTAACGTGTGTTAGAGGGAAGAAGCACCATTACGAACATCGGTCGGGCGCAGTAGACTACCTGCTGGGTGTCGACGAATGGTAACGATTCAACATATAGAAGAATCGTTAGGAAATTAAAAGAAAATGACGGCCAATATTCTGGTCAGAGGCGATAGGATGGCCACCTGCTGTTTATGTACACTTGGCCGTCAGTTGCTCAAGTGTGTTTCCTCTATTAAAAACACTTTCAAGAGAGTTAACCTCACCAGTCGGACTACAGCCGTAGGCCACCGCACCGCCTACATATTGACAGTTGATATCTTCATGGTATCTTATCAATCACATTTCTTTTAGAATTCCCATCTTACACCAGGACTTTTCAAAGGGTTTTACTGTAACCCAAATTATACCCGAAAGAGCAAGCAATGCAGAATAAAAATGTTACCTGTTCTTTATTGCTTTCCAGCGCTGGTAACACTTCCTTAACCGTCCTCTCCACGAGCACCCCACCCACCAGCCGGAAGCACTTCCTTGTTGGGTCCACATCTTTTAGGGTCTCAATGACTAGGCTGAGAGAAAAGAGGGAAGTTGTAAAAGGAAAGTAACAAGGGTGAATCTCATCCTCTTTCTCAAAACGCATCAGAAGAGAAGATGTGAGGTTCCTCCCCTCAGACCTTCTCCTCCAATGCATGTTGCGAGGGAGGCGAGGAGAGAGGACATGAGGAATCTAGGGAAGACTTGAGATTCACCCCCAGTGTCAGAATCTTTCATCTCTAACACTTTACAGACTGAACAATGATTATTATTCCTCTTTGTGGTCAAGTCCATAGTTAAGTCCACTAATGTGAACAGTGAGTGAAATAGGAGTGTTAATAATAAAAAGTCAGAAGTAAGCATAGCCGTGGGAAGTAGGGGTGCTGAGGGTGCTGCAGCACACCCTGAAAAATCAGAATAATATCAAATAACAATAATACCTTGCACAAAAGTAGTGCACTGGGCCTTTACTAGTATTAACGGACCGATATAGACCTCTTTAGCAGGAGCAAACTTTTTTTTTTGCATCTCCGCTTTGGCAAAAATGGTAGTTGTATAATTAAGAACAGTATCTTGCAGGATTCAATAGTTGGAATTGTAAAAGTTGTTGCCCTGTCCCTTTCTCTGCGAATGTCATTCTAATGGTATCCAGACTGAACAAAACCCTGTCCTCAAACATTTACAGTGCATTCGGAAAGTACTCAGACCCCTTGACTTTTTCGACTTTGTTACGGGCCTCATTCTAAAATTGATTTTCCCTCAATCTACACACAATACCCCATAATGACAAAGCAAAAACAGGTTTTCAGAAATGTTCAAATAAATGGAAATATTACATTTACATAAGTATTTTGTTGAAGCACCTTTTGCAGCGATTACAGCCTTGAGTCTTCTTGGGTATGACGCTACAAGCTTGGCACACCAGTATTTGGGGAGTTTCTCCCAGTCTTCGCTGCAGATCCTCTCAAGCTCTGTCAAGTTGGATGTGGAGCGTCGCTGCACAGCTATTTTCAGGTCTCTCTAGAGATGTTAGATCGGGTTCAAGTCCGGGCTCTGGCTGGGCCACTCAAGGACATTCAAAAGACTTGTCACGAAGCCACTCCTGCGTTGTCTTGGCTATGTGCTCATGGTCATTGTCCTGTTGGAAGGTGAACCTTCACCCCAGTCTGAGGTCCTGAGTGCTCTGGAGCAGGTTTTCATCAAGGATCTCTCTCTGTACTTTGCTCTGTTAATCTTTCCCTCGATCCTGACTAGTCTCCCAGTCCCTGCCGCTGAAAAACATCCCCACAGCATGATGCTGCCAGCACCATGCTTCACCGTAGAGATGGTGCCATGTTTCCTCCAAATGTGACGCTTGACATTCAGGCCAAAGAGTTCAATCTTGGTTTCATCAGACCAGAGAATCTTGTTTCTCATGGTCTGAGTCTTTAGGTGCCTTTTACTGAGGATTGGCTTCAGTCTGGCCACTCTACCATAAAGGCCTGATTGGTGGAGTGCTGCAGAGATGGTTGTCCTTGTGGAAGGTTCTCCCATCTCCACAGAGGAACTCTGGAGCTCTGTCAGAGTGACCATCGGATTCTTGGTCACCTCCCTGACCAAGGCCCTTCTCCCCCGATTGCTCAGTTTGGCCGGGCAGCCAGCTCTAGGAAGAGTATTGGTGGTTCCAAACTTCTTCCATTTAAGAATGATGGAGGCCACTGTGTTCTTGGGGACCTTCAATGCTGCAGAAATGTTTTTGTACCCTTCCCAAGATCTGTGCCTCGACACAATCCTGTCTCAGAGTTCTACCGTCAATTCCTTCGAACCTCATGGCTTGGTTTTTGCTCTGACATGCACTGTCAACTGTGGGACCTTATATAGACAGGTGTGTGCCTTTCCAAATCATGCCCAATCAATTGAATTTACCACAGGTGGCCTCCAATCAAGTTGTTGAAACATCTCAAGGATGATCAATGGAAACAGGATGCACCTTAATTTACCATCCTTACAAACCACTTAATGTAAATGTACATTACTGTATTGTACATAGGCTAGGTTTGTACCTGTAGACTTTCCATCACCATGAAGAAAAACAATGCACAATACAGTAATTGAGTACATTGAGACATCAAGTGGTTTGTGATGATGTGGCTCAGTTTGGTAGGCATTGGCGCTTAGGGTTGTGGGTTTGATTCCCACGGGGGACAAGAATGAAAATGTATCCACTCACTACTGTAAGTTGCTCTGAACAAGAGCGTCTACTAAAATGGAAAAGGAATTAATAGACCATTTCAGTTCAGATAGAAATAAGTTGCATTTGCAAAGTATTTCAAGAAACTGGAAAATATACTGTATATCAAGCAAGTATATTTATATTCCACAAGTATTATCAGATTAACGGTTTTGTACAGATAATTATCGGACTCAAGTTACAAATGCTGGTTAACACTCAAACACATTTAGTTTACATTTTTTCAAAAAAGTAGTTCACTGGGCCTTTACTAGTCCAGTATTAGGGACAGATATAGATGTCTTCAGCGCGGCCAAAACACTTTGTTCGCAGCACCCCCACCCCCAAACTGCTTCCCGTGACTATGGAAGTAAGAGAAATAACAAAAAAAAAAAGTGTGAGTAGCTGCTAAAGCAAGTCACACTAACTAGAGCTAGTTACCTATGCTCATTGATCTCCATCTCCAGCTCTGCAGCCTTGGAGGCCATGCTTCGCTGCTCCGAGCGCATCCTCTGGAATACAGCCACGACCTGTCAGACACATCGAATACATCAAATCAAACATTCACTCATAATAATAATAATAATAATAATAAATGTCATTAAGCAGAGAATTTATCCAAATGACTTAAAATGTAATTTGGTGACCTGTGGAAGGAAGACCTACGAGTGGCAGATAGCCTAGCGGTTCAGAGCATTGGGCCAGTAACCAAAAGATCGCTGGATAGAAATCCCTGAACCGACTGGGTTCAAAAAATGTCCATCTGCCCTTCAGCAAGGCACTTAACCCTAATTGCTCTGGATAACAGCTTCTGCTAAATGACTAAATAAACAAATGAAAGGCAACAAGTTTTAGTCAGTGTAAAACCCCTCTTACAGTAGTGAATGCATACATTTTCATATGGGGTTCCCTAGTGGGAATCGAACCCACAATCCTAGCCTTGCAAGCGCCATGCTTTACCAGCCACAATACACACAGATTTCTGAACTTAGATTAGATTGAACAAAGTTGCAAAAAGCCTCGTTATATAGGCATACCTGGAAAAGGATATATATCATTAGACCAGTTGTTGATTAGCTATGAGTAAATGCAATAGCCAGTAGTTTTTGTGATTTTTTACAACGGACTGCATTAGCTACTAATGCTGTTTTGTGTCTGCGACTGCAGGACTCCAGACTGCAACCACTTAGTCGCATTTTGTGACCCTTTGACTTAGCTGTGCGAATAAAAATTGTAACTGGTCACATCGGTGCGAGCTGCAAATTCTACATGGTCACCTCACTCAAAACTACCAATTTTTTAGGAGGCTAAAACCATTATTTGGTCAAACAGTAAAGTACCTTATCCTCATGATTCCTATAACGAAAGTGTCTGCCTGCCCCGGTACCTGTGTCACTGGGGCCTACTGCAGTGTAGAGCAAGCCACTTTCACTCTCCTTTCCCGGGAAAAAAGATTATCCGGGAGAAAGTGTTCAGATTGTATAACATTTTAAAATGTGCGGGGAAAACACCGCTATCCTGTTGTCACAGTTGAAGAGAGAGCGCGTGAAATGCGCATTGGCCATTGCGATTGCTTAGGCCTCATTTTAGCAGTAGGCTACAACGTTTTTTGGGGACATTAAATGTAGTTCGATTAATACATGGCTAGTAGCAGTGGGTATTATATTTAGAGCTATTCATACCCCTTGACTTATCCCATATTTTGTTGTTGAATTCAAAATTGATTAAATTCTATATTTTTTATCACCCATCTACACACAATACCCCATACTGACAAAGTGAAAACATGTTTTTAGAAATGTTTGCTCACTTATAGAACATGAAATGCAGAACTATCTAATTTAATAAGTACTCATACATGTTAGAATCACCTTTGGCAGCGATTACAGCTGTGAGTCTTTCTGGGTCTCTAAGAGCCTTGCACACCTGGATTGTACAATATTGGCAAAAAAAATAATTCATTCTTCAAGCTCTGTCAAGTTGGTTGTTGATCATTGCTTGACAGCCATTTAAGTCTTGCCAAAGATTTTCAAGTAAATTTACATCAAAACAGTAACTTGGACACTGTCTTCTTGGTAAGCAACTCCAGTGTAGATTTGGCCTTGTGTTTTAGGTTACTGTCCTGCTGAAAGGTGAATTCATCTCCCAGTGTCTGGTGGAAAGCAGACTGAACCAGGTTTTCCTCTATGATTTTGCATGTGCTTAGCTCTATTCCTTAGCCCCAGTCCTTAACAATTACAAGCACACCCATAAATTGATGCAGCCACCATTATGCTTGAAAATATGGAGTCGTACTCAGTAATGTGTTGTACTGGATTTGCCCCAAACATACCACTTTTTATTCAGGACAAAAAGTGAATTGCTTTGCCACATTTTCTGCTGTATTACTTTAGTGCCTTGTTGCAAACAGGATGCATGTTTTGGAATATTTTTATTCTGTACAGGCTTCCTTCTTTACACGCTGTCAGTTAGGTTAGTATTGTAGAGTAACTACAATGTTGATCCATCCTCAGTTTTCTCCTATCACAGCCATTAAACTCTAACTGTTTTAATGACACCAGTGGCCTCATGGTGAAATCCCTGAGCGGTTTTGTTCCTCTCCAGCAACTGAGTTAGGCAGGACCCCTGTATCTTTGTAGTGACTGGGTGTATTGATACACCATCCAAAGTGTAATTAATAACTTCACCACGCTCAAATAGATATTCAATGTCTGCTTTTTGTTTTACCCATCTACCAATAGGTGCCCTTCTTTGCACGGCATTGTAAAACCTCCCTGGTGTTTGTGGTTGATTCTGTGTTTGAAATTCACTGCTCGACTGAGGGATCTACAGATAATTGTATGTGTGGGGTACAGAGATGAGATAGTCAATCAAAAATCATGTTAAACACTATTATTGCACACAGAGTCCATGCAACATATGTAACTTAAGCACATTTTTACTCCTGAACTTAGGCTTGCAATAACAAAAGGGATTGAACACTTGCTGACTCAAGACATTTCAGATTTTCATTTTGTAAAGACGTAGAAATACATAATTCCACTTTGACATTATGGGGTATTGTGTTTAAGCCAGTGACAAAAAAATCAAAATTGAACCCTTTTCAAATTCAGGCTATAACAACAAAATGTGGAAAAAGTCAAGGGGTGTGAATACTTTCTGAAGGCACTAAACAAAAATATAAACGCAACATGCAACAATTTCAAAGGTTTTACTGAGTTACAGTTCATATAAAGAAATCAGTCAATTGAAATATATTCATTAGGCCCTAATCTATGGATTTCACAACTGGGAATACAGATATGCATCTGTTGGTAACAGTTACCTTACAAAAAAATGGTAAAGGCGTGGATCAGAAAACCAGTCAGTATCTGGTGTGAACACCGTTTACCTCATGCAGTGTGACATTTCCTTCGCATAGAGTTGAACAGGCTGTTGATTGTGGCCTGTGGAATGCTGTTCCACCCTTCAATGGCTGTGCGAAGTTGCTGGATATTGCCGGGAACTGGAACACGCTGTCGTATGCATTGATCCAGAGCATTCCAAACATGCTCAATGGGTGACATGTCTGGTGAGTATGCAGGCCATGGAAGAACTGGGCCATTTTCAGCTTCCAGGAATTGTGTACAGATCCAAGCGACATGGGGCCGTGCATCATCATGCTGAAACATGAGGTGATGGCGTTGGATGAACGGTACCACAATTGGCCTCAGGATCTCGTCACGATATCGCTGTGCATTCAAATTGCCATTGATAAAATGCAATTGTGTTCGTTGTCTATAGCTTATGCCTGCCCATACCATAACCCCACTACCACCATGGGGCACTCTGTTCACAACATTGACATCTGCAAACCGCTCGCCCACACGACGCCAACCGGGATTCATCCGTGAAGAGCACACTTCTCCAGCTTGACAGTGGCCATCGAAGGTGAGCATTTCTCCACTGAAGTCGGTTACGATTCCGAACAGCTGTCAAGTCAAGACCCTGGTGAGGACACAGACGGTTTGTGGCAAAATTATTTGGTTGTGCAAACCCACACTTTCATCAACTGTCCGGGTGGCTGGTCTCAGACGATCCCGCAGGTGAAGAAGCCGGATGTGTAGGTCTTGGGCTGGCGTGGTTACACGTGGTCTGCGTTTGTGAGGCCGATTGGACGTACCGCCAAATTCTCTAAAACGACATTATGGTAGAGAAATGAACATTCAATTCTCTGGTAACAGCTCTGGTGGACATTCCTGCAGTCAGCATGCCAATTGCACGCTCCCTCAAAACTTGAAACATCTGTGGCATTGTGTCGTGTGACAAAACTGCACATTTTAGAGTGGCCTTTTATTTTCCTCAGCACAAGTTGCACCTGTGTAATGATCATGCATTTTAATCAGCTTCTTGATATTCCACACCTGTCATGTGGATGGATTATCTTGGCAAAGAAGAAATGCTCACTAACTGGAATGTAAACAAATTTGTGCACAAAATGTGAGAGTAATAAGCTTTTTGTGCGTATGGAAAATTTCAGGGTCTTTTATTTCAGCTCATGAAACCAACACTTTACATGTTGTGTTTATATTTTTGTTCAGTAACTGCATTTGGAAAGTATTCAGACCCCTTCCCTTTTTCCACATTTTGTTACGTTACAGCCGTATTCTAAAATGGATTAAATTATTTTTTCCCCCTCAATCTACACAAAATACCCCATAATGACAAAGCGAAACAGGTTTCGTCAAAGTCAGTTCGTCAAATTTCTGCCCTGCTAGAGCTGCCCCGGTCAACTGTAAGTGCTGTTATTGTGAAGTGGAAACGTCTAGGAGCAACAACGGCTCAGCCGCAAAGTGGTAGGCCACACAAGCTCACAGAACGGGACCACAGAGTGCTGAAGCGTGTAAAAATCGTCTGTCCTTGGTTGCAACACTCAATACCAAGTTCCAAACTGCCTCTGTAAGCAACGTCAGCACAAGAACTGTTAGTCTGGAGCTTCATGACCGAGCAGCCGCACACAAGTCTAAGACCACCATGCGCAAAGCCAAGCGTCAGCTGGAGTGGTGTAAAGCTCGCCGCCATTGGACTCTGAAGCAGTGGAAATGCATTCTCTGGAGTGATTAATCACCCTTCACCATCTGGCAGTCCAAAGGACAAATCTGGGTTTGGCAGATGCCAGGAGAAGGCTATCTGCCCAAATGTATAGTGCCAACTGTAAAGTTCGGTGGAGGTTGAATAATGGTCTGGGGCTATTTTTCATGGTTGGGGCTAGGTCCCTTACCTCCAGTGAAGGGAAATCTTAACGCTACAGCATACAATTACATTAATGACATTCTAGACGATTCTGTCCTTCCAACTTTGTGGCAACAGTTTGGGGAAGGCCCTTTCCTGTTTCAGCATGACAATGCCCCCATGCACAAGGCAAGGTCCATACTGAAATGGTTTGTCGAGATCGGTGTGGAAGAACTTGACTGGCCTGCACAGAGCCCCGACCTCAACCCCATCGAACACCTTTGGGATGAATTGGAAAGCCGACTGCGAGCCAGGCCTAATCAGTGGCCGACCTCACTAATGAAAATGTGTTATACATTTTCCTGCAGTCAAAATTAGCAAAATATTGTCCTCTATCCATCGGTTTTGGAATTTTCGATGCTCCCTGACTGTCTAGTGATGATTAGTGAGTTGGACTGTCAAGAAACTATGAATATAGGTCCATTATAATTTCTACAGTTTCGATTCGGTTTTAGCCGGATTGGACCCCCTCACGGGCTGGAGCCCTCCCACGGGCTGTATGTTTGATACCCCTGCGGTAAAGTCTACCCCATTGTATTTGGCACGTGACAAATAAACATATTTGATGTAGTGGGCGCAGCATTTAGTGACCGCAATCCTCAGATAGACAATATTGAAATCATTGGCTGGTACCACCAACTGAAAAAATGTATGGCACCTGGGGAAAATGTTAGTCTGGAGCCATGTACTGGTTGGCAAGGTAGAGGGACGCACCAAAAGCACGAACAGTGACAGGCAGAAATAGCTTCTCATCTGCTCGAGAGTACAACCATTCCCGTTTTGAGGCATTATAGATAGCGTTGTGAATCAATACGACCTATACCATATTTTCTTCTAAATTATGAAATCTCAGTTGAGGAACACGCGAGAAGGAAGCAGACGATGGGTGAGGGAGCGTGTTAACGTTAGCTACTGTTAGCTTGCCTTGCTAACGTTAGCTAGCTGGATGCGTGACTGACAAATCCGGGTTTGTATCTCAGTCCGCAACGATTGAAAAGCATTTGCTAACAAAGCATGAATATTCTGACACGGAGTGACAATACCTGCTCAGCCGACGGCCCTGACTGTTTCCCCCCGGTACTGTTGCTGGGTTTGCTAACCGTGCTGCTACTGTTGGCTGCCATCTTGGAAAGGTGTCGCTGCTAGTGGGCTGAGGGCCCAAACTCGTCACTAGTTACCACAGCCACAAATGGCTAAACCCCGCCTATTTCTAAAATCTCTCTTCTTAAAATCTGATTTTAAACCTATCCTTAACCACACTGTTAACCTTATACCAAATCCTAACCATAAATGAAGACCAAAAAACTCATTTTCGTTTTCATAAATGTTTTACAACATATCCAATTTTGACTTTGTGGCTGTGATAACTAGTGACAACCAAGCTTACCTCCTTGAGCTGTCTGATGTGATTGCCTGTTTGGAATGAGGAAAAGATGGCGGCGCAGACGCTGATGTGGAGCGTGTATATAAAGGCGGGGGAATCAAGGAGAATTGGAATATTGTCCAAAAAAATAGAAAACGGAGCAAAGTAGCATACAGTGATGAGAATGTCCCTTCTTATCTTGGAATTTCCCTTCTTATCCTGTAGGAGTATGTTTTGTTAATGAGGAGCAGCTGATTGGGTTGCCACTTTTGAACAATCAATTTTATATATTCAAACTGGTGGAGAGAGTGCTGGGTAAAGTGAAGGCTGTGAGGATCAGGAGAGGTGGGCTTGTTTAGATTTTTTGTTCTTCTGAGGATCAGAATGAGCATGTGTTGCGTCTCACCAGATTTGAGAAGTTTGATGTGTCCTGTGTGTCTCTTCGGAACAGGGCACCCCTCATGGGGGTTATATCTGGCGTTTCGTGGGAAATTGATGTTGCAGAGATTACAAATATTCTGGGAGTGATTGATGCTTGTCGGATGAATCATGTGGTAAATGAAGAAAATTGAGTCTCTCCCTACTCAAGTGCAGTTGGGATATATAAACGACAGAGTCAGAGCATTTGTTCCAAGACCAATGCAGTGTGATCATTGTAAAGCTTTTGGACGTTTCAAGAGTTTGTAGATGGGAGAATCCGAGATGTTCAAGTTGTGTTAAAGATCATATCATGTGTTGTAAAAGTGCTGAAAATGTGACATGTTGCAATTGTGGTGGGAACCATGTAGCCAGTCTTTGGAATGTCCAACAAGGGTGAAATAGAATGAGGTGGCCTAAGTCAAGGCTGTCCAGAGCATTTCATATGCAGCGGCTGTTAAAAGGGTTGAGGGTTCGAATGGTGCTCCTGAAGAGTCCATGGTGGTGGATATGCCTTCACTGAAGGCTGCAGGGGTTGCTGTTCAACAGCAGGAACCAGATACAATGCATTTGGAAAATATTCAGAACCATTCCCCTTTTCCACATTTTGTTAAGTTATAGCCTTATTCTAAAATGGGTGAAATAAAAAAAAATCCTCATCAATCTACACCCAATACCCCATAATGACAAAGCGAAAACAGGTTTTTATACATTTTTGCAAATGTATTACAAATAAAAAACAAATACCTTATTTACTTAAGTATTCAGACCCTTTGGTATGAGTCTCGAAATTGAGCTCATGTGCATCCTGTTTCCATTGATCATCCTTGAGACGTTTCTTCAACTTGATTGGAGTCCACCTGTGGTAAATGCAATTGATTGGACATGATTTGGAAAGGCACACACCTGTCTATATAAGGTCCCACAGTCAGAGCAAAAACCAAGCCATAAGGTCGAAGGAATTGTCCGTAGAGCTCCGAGACAGGATTGTGTTGAGGCACAGATCTGGGGAAGGGTACCAAAAAATGTCTGCAGCATTGAAGGTCCCCAAGAACACAGTGGACTCCATCATTCTTAAATGGAAGAAGTCAGGGAGATGACCAAGAACCCGATGGTCACTCTGACAGAGCTCCAGAGTTCCTCCGTGGAGATGGGAGAACCTTCCAGAAGGACAACCATCTCTGCAGCACTCCACCAATCAGGCCTTTATTGTAGAGTGGCCAGATGGAAGCCACTCCTCAGTAAAAGGCACATGATAGCCCGCTTGGAGTTTGCAAAAAGGCACCAAAAGGACTCTCAGACAATGAGAAACAGGATTGTCTGGTCTGATGAAACCAAGATTGAACTCTTTGGCCTGAATTCCAAGCGTCACATCTGGAGGAAACCAGGCACTGCTCATCACCTGGCCAATACCATCCCTATGGTGAAGCATAGTGGTGGCAGCATCATGCTGTGGGGATATTTTTTAGCGGCAGGGACTGGGAAACTGAACAGAGCAAAGTACAGAGAGATCCTTGATGAAAACCTGCTCCAGAGCGCTCAGGACCTCAGACTGGGGCGAAGGTTCACCTTCCAACAGGACAACGACCCTGAGCACACAACCAAGTCAACGCAGGAGTGGCTTCGGGACAAGTCTCTAAATGTCCTTGAGTGGCCCAGCCAGAGCCCGATCGAACATCTCTGGAGAGACCTGAAAATAGCTGTGCAGTGAAGCCCCCTATCCAACCTGACAGAGCTTGAGAGGATCTGCAGAGAAGAATGGGAGAAACTCCCCATATACAGGTGTGCCAAGCTTGTAGCGTCATACCCAAGAAGACTCGAGGCTGTAATCGCTGCCAAAGGTGCTTCAACAAAGTACTGAGTAAAGGGTCTGAATACTTATGTAAATGTAATATTTCCTTTTTTTTATTATTATAAATTAGTAAACATTTCTAAAACTGTTTTTGATTTGTCATTATATGGTATTGTGTGTAGATTGATAGGGGGGAAAACGATTTAATCAATTTTAGAATAGGGCTGTAACATAACAAAATATGGAACAAGTCAAGGGGTCTGAAGACTTTCCAAATGCACTGTATTTTTATCCGCAACAAGTCCGTTTGGTGGAAATGTAACGAACTTCATATAACCAACCAGAAGAGAGGCACACGGACACCCACACTTCAGGTTGACTTGGTTCTTATCTGCAATAAAATATATCAGTGATGACAGGCATTGACAGGGTGGTCACAGCCACAAGTTCACTGCTCTCAGAATATCTCTCTTGGACTGAAGAGCAGGCATACCAACTTTCCAAATAGGGGAGAAGCACTCAAACCTCACTAGTTGTTATGTCAAGGAAAATAATATTTAAAAGGTAAGTCTGAAGACCTCTCGTATTGGCAGCCTTACTACAATGGCAGTAAATATTTGTATGAATTCGACAACACATAATGAAAGGAGACTAATATCACACCCTTTTCTGAAGTGAATGATTTCACCCACTACTCTGCCCGCGAACGGGGTGTTCTTTGATATTACATTGCGCGCAGCATGAGTGAGGTTGATGGACACTACATTTTCACTTTGTCAAAGAAACACACCACTAGCTAGGTTTCCATACAATTGGCAACAGATTTTCATGTTGAATATTGTAATATCCCAACAGAGATGTTTCCATCAAATGTACTTGTTGCGGATAAAAGGCTGTGCGTGAGGTTTCCATCGCATTTTCAACTCTGCTGAAGGTTTTCTCCAAAAAATTTTTGCCTTTGGTATTGCCACGTGGGCTCTAGCCAACAGTTTGCAGATACAGTGCGGGTACAGCCTATAATGATGAGATTATTATGGACAAAAGAGCGAGATTATTTTATTTGTCAAACGGCAGCCAAGCATCGATGATCATGTCACCAGAATAAGACTCGATATTTATTGGAGAGGAGCATCAGCTCATCACCCTGCACTTTCACCACCCTGTGAAGTTCATCATAATTTGTTTCATCTGTAGCCAAATAAACTGCATGCTTTTGACGACTCTTAGTGAGAGGACCACACAACTGTCATCGCGTCACTCCAAGTTTACTTTGATATGATGGTTATTATATAAATATGTTTCCACCTACATTTCTCACGTAATTAATTTTACAGACACAAAAATAATCCACCTTGTATAGCATTTTGTCGACATTTCGAATGTTAACCTACACATGTTCTGTTCCCATCAGGCCTGTCATGACATGTTTTATCCGACATGTACTTTATGCGCATTAAAAGGTTGGATGTAAACCTGGTAGTAGCTTGGTTTCCATCCAATTGCCACAGATTTTCATGCGAATATTCTACAATCCACATAAAGAACATATGCGCATTTTCCCACCAGTAGTATGTTTCCACCAAATGGACTTCTTGCAGAAAAAAATCAGTACGTTATGACATAGTGCACACAGAATGTTGGTTACTTTTTCGCTTAAATGTTCATGTAGCCTACCGAATAAAAATCTAAAATGCAATGTGTTTCCATCGCATTTTCAACTCTACCGATAGTTTTATCACAAAAACTGTTGCATTAAATAGCAAATGTGCCTACTCTGGTCTTGGCTCCTGCGCTCCAGCCAACAGTTTGCAGATACAGTGCGGGGAGGCTGTGAGGGTTGTCTAGTCTACATGATGAGATTATTATAGATAAGAGCGAGAATATTTGTATTTGTCAAACGGCAGTCAAGCATCGATCATCACGTCACCAGAATAAGACCCTTGATATTTATTGGAAAGCAGCATCAAACTCATCACCGTGCACTTTCACCACCCTGTGAAGTTAATAATTTATTTCATCTGTAGGCTAGCCTAATAAACTGCATGGTTTCCCGAGTTGTAGTGTGAGGACCGCAACACCATATCATCGCGTGACTCCAAATTTACTTCGATATGATGCTTATTATATCAATATTTGCGCATAAAGGCGTTTCCACCGCCATTTCCCACATAACACATTTTACCGACACAAAAAGATCCCACCATGTCGAACGATAAAATTATTTATAAAATCACTTTGAATGGGTTTCAGATTTTATTCTCACTCTTCAAATAAGATAAACTTGATTTTCTAACCACAATCCAGTGTTAGCCATGATGATGATCCAGGAGGGACCAGAAAATGAATGGATAACAACAGTGCCAAAACCTAATACATTCGTTTTTTTTGTAGAGTCAAAACGCCACCCACAAGTAGTCCATAAAAAAATATACAGTTTGTATTTTTAATTCATCCATCAATGTGGCTCAGATAAAAAATGTGCATGCAATTTGGGCCTGAAATTAAGATAAAAGTGTACTTTATTAATCCAGAGGGTGTTTCATTATGGAATTAAACACATTTCCCCCCTTTCATTTGTACT